TTTTTTTTTAATTTTTTAAAATTTCAAGTATATTATGCAGTACATGCATGTGAAGTCTTTCAATAAACGGTTAATTAAGATAAATTGGCACTATTTTGCAAATTACCAAATTTAGTATAATTTTATCTTGTTGAAAGTGAGCACTACTAAGTCATTACATTAATGGCTAACAAACTTTATTAAATGAATAATTTAAACAAAAAAAAGCTTCAATTTAAAATTTTTAATAAATTGATTTAAAAAATAGAAAAAAAAAATGTTCACGGAAACCTTTAGCTTGCATTTCTCGATTCATTACTGCTAAACGTTTAACAACTGCTTCAACTTCAATTAACGGAGCCTAAAAATTTGCATTAAAATTTATTAATTCTACTGTAAATTTTTCAAATTAAATTTTACCATTATCATAAACACAATCAGATTCATGAACAACATCTGTTATCAACGAATGATATATTCGACAGATAAAAAATAATCATTACATTTGGTACAGAAGCGAAATCGTACATACGTATGATAGAAGTGTAAATTAACAGTGATAACAAATAATTGCGAAAAAATAAATAATTTACAACTCAACGTTCATTTTCTAATATTGTAGCATAAATAATTTTAAAAATACATATTTTATGATAACATTAGCTTTATCATTTGATAATAAAAATTTATAAAAATATTTTCAACATTTATAAAATATATTTTCAAAAAACTGCTGAAAAAAGAGTTCCAGCAAATTGCAGTTAAATTTCCTGAATTTCCCGTTACCTGAGCATTTTCTTTATGAAATGACCGGAAAGCATCAATATTCTGAGCGAATATCTCATACGGATCCGCTTTCTCACCACACTCAATATTTCCAAGCCGTAAAATTGTTTCATTATTTTGCAAGACAATTTCTAATCGATCAACTAATTTGTCCACATCTTCCTGGTATCTATAAAATCATCACTTTTTCCTGATATCCATAAAGTTATCACTTTTTTATTTTTTAAATAAATTGAAGATGAAAATTTATTAATAATTATAATAAAACAATGAAATTCAGTGAAAAATCAATTTCTTACTAGTAAAACAATTAGTCTGGAACAGACTTATTGGTCATTGCGTAATTAACATAATGTAATAATTAATCACTTCTGATTCATACCACTCAAAAAGTCATTAAACAAAAAAAAAAAAGTTCTGCTTATTGTTTGTTTCTATTTTTCTAACAAATACGAGCATGATGGTGAAATTTCGCTTTTAAAATCTTTTTCGTCACCTTAATTTATCAATATAATAAATTCTTAAATAATTAATATAACAGATTAACTAACTTGTAATATTTCTCAATATCAGCAACAAACTCTGGTGCTAAACGTGTCTGTTCAACAATTCCCATACGTTCACCCACCTGAAGCACGTTTGTTCATTTTAAAGAAAAGAAAGAACTTTCAAATTTCCTCCAAATTATAAACATTAATTAATTAAATAAAATATCGAAAAATACGCATCATTGATTTTTTTCAAATCCTTTTTTTTCTCTCAGAAACCTTAGATTTAATAGAGGAAATTAGTTAAATTGATAGCAAAATCACTTATAATATTATCAAAATCTAATATATTTAAATCAATTTTCAGCCATTTTTAATTTTATTTGCTCCTTTTTTCTCGTTTTAAATAATTCTAATAAAATTAAAACATATGAATAAATTTTACTTCATTAATTTAATAGTGTACATATATTCAAATTTAACAATTTTAGTATTTTTCTCACTCTTTCTTCATAAAATAAAAACGAGCCTTAAAGAAAAGTTTTCCAACCGGTCCACGTTTTTTCCTCTTTTCCAGTTCATCGTTACCAACAGATGAAGATGTTTCGGACTCGTTCATTCAACTCAATACAACTACAATTACTATCAAACCGAACACAATCAGCAGGCGAAATAACAATAAATTATTAATAGCTCAGATTTATATTTGTAAATGAATTTTGTAAAATTTTATATTAAAATTGAAATATGGAAATATTCAAATTATCGCATTTAGCCTCATACTTGACTTAATGAACAAAACATTTATTTAAAATTATTACAAATAAAAAAATCACCCATTTATTTATTTAATCTATTGAAGATTATCTACTTAAATTATGCATTACTTATTTTTCACATTAAAAAGTTACTTATTTACTTATTTTCAGATAAAAGTTATTCATTTATTTATTTCAAATATTATTTTTACAAATATGACTAGCATATAAGTTGTTATAAAAAGTTAGCATAATGTAAACAATATATGATCCATATTTTCAAACAAATTTCACACCCTAATTCAAATCATTTCAGTCAATACGAATCTTATTTTTTAGTAATAATGGTTGATAGTGATTTAAAAAAATGAGCAATGCTTAAGGCTTTGTCACTTTTTCCGTATTACATGCATCTAAAAAAAAGTGAATGGGAAGAAGAAAGCTATGAATAAAATGAATGAGCAAAATTTTCAGCTAATGCTTTCCCCTTTTTATCGATTCACATTTTTAGCCATTTTTTTTCTTCTATTTTTGGCTTTTTCCCTTTCTCTCTTTTTCGCTCGCTTCATTTTTATCATCTATAAATTTCAATTTAATAATAATAGTTCACTGATGCTATTTAAATTGTTTATTTCCATTAAAATGTCGTGTATGTATGTAATTGAAATGTATTTAAATGACGACTTTTTTTTTCGTTTATTTTCAATATTTGTCACTCTTCAAAAAAGGCTTTTATAAAAATTGGCATAGGAGTGAGTGACCCCTTTCATAGATATAGATATTAATTTCACATCATATTAAGATGAATTTCACTTCGAAAATTGACAATATTAATTTTTTTTAATGTTCGATAGTATATGATATATTAATATACTTTATGATTAATGTGATTAATGTGATTAATCATATACTTTATACAGATATTTTTATTATACGGTTAATTATCTTTCGTTTTTTTATTGAATTATTTCAAATATTTTTTTTGGCGAAAAAATTGTTGGAAGCTTTTACATAAATCTTTGGATAACTTCAGCCAATTGCTATTATTTTTTGTGCTGAAATTTTTAAAAATAAATGAATTCTGACAAATTTGTTTGCCTTTTTGTATTTTTTAAAATAAGATAAGCGAAATTTTTTAAATTAAAATTTAATATAAAAGAGAAGAAATCTTTC